TCTCTAACCATTTGTGAAGAGACTTCCTAAACTCTTCTAATATCCTTTACAGAAACCTTTCCAGCTCTTTCCTACTCTTGGAATGAGTTTAAGTGTGTGTTTAAGTGTGTGAATTTGAAGTAACAGTAAAACAGACCACTCTTCTAGAAACACTTCGGTTTCTTTTCTAATGGGAGAACAGAATTGTTTTATGAACCACAACTACAGCTACGTTTTCTTGAATGACAGATATCCAGGACTTTTTGGCCATGAGGAAAGTATACAAAGGCTATAGTCTATGCGAGGCATTTGAAGGCGGGCACTCTTAAAGACTTCAGTTGTATCATGCTTGAGGATTAACTCTGTAGTGTGGGTATTATTTGACCTACTTTAGAAGTTAAGTTATTTCAAATGTCTTCACTAATTGAAAGAAAATGGAGGAGAGTGGGGAGAAGAAATTGATGAAGAAAATCTGATTTATTCAACTAAATTAAAGAAATTAAGAGGTGGCATCTTCAGCTTCCGCCTGCTTTAATGGGTGCAGTTGAATGCAGGTTTAATTCAGCTCACTCTGCTGGACTTCATACCTGAACAGTCCTGCACATTTGCTTCTGCCCTTGTATGCATCAGACTTTCATTTGTGGCTCTCTGCTCTGAGCGTTAAATAACAGCCTTGTAGGTTAATTGGCACCCTTACTGAGCCTCAGTTCAGCAAGTACTTGTCTGATTTTTAAACATGTTAGAGTTGCAGATAAAGAGTGGAGCTGAATTCCACATCAGCCTTTGCTAAAGAGCTGATGGATTCTCTCAGTAGTTATTCTCAAGTCATCTCAGGCATATTTATTAACCTCATGAGCGCTTCTCCCCAAATAAGTATCTCTTTGCCTGCTTGCCTGTCTGTCCTTCACTACAGTATCTGAGCACCTCTGACATGCTGCCGCTTTGACAAACCTACCAGTATCGCTGTAGCGGGTTTTCTAAGAACCTTCTTTTTATGTGGAAACTTACTGGTCTTTTATGTAAATTGTAGCACTGGGAATTTCCTTGAGGTTATGTAAATTACACTGATTCACGATTATAACAAAAGATACATAATATTCCTGTGTATTTCTTATACTATTTTAAATATGGCAACGCCAATTGTTCTTTCCTTGTCATTGCTATTTCGGTGTGTGAACTATTTATACTGAAGCTTCCATTACATAATTATCTGTAGACTTTCACCTTATCCTTCATATGCTGTGCTTACATACCACACTGTGCCTCTCTAAGAGTTGGTGATTTAACCTTAATAATGTATGTACATCTCATTTGAAGGAGCAGAGAGAGCCAAGAACATGACATCTTGATTTCATTGTTAACAACATGTGCTATGTTGGAGGAAATTCACTCTAATAGTTTAAATTTCACCTTAAGTTTAAGGGCATATGGAAGTCTGAGTAGCATGTTATTCAGACCATATTCAGGCAGAGAGTTCATGGTCTAAGATGTTTATTATGCTCAGCTTTTGTTAGGCTTTTTTTTGGTCTGTGTTACAGAAGTGTAGG